GCGGCTTTAATACTCTCAAAAATCACTTTATCAAAGGAATTTATACTGTTAAACTTATGTCCACTGTATGCAACGATGTTAGTCATTCGGGATAGAAAAAAGGAAAAGTCGATTTTTGTGAGAAATTTCTTGTCAATTCAAAGAAACTACTTATGAAATGATGTCAAACTCCCAAATTACGATTTCTATTGAAAATTTAAAGTATTAAATTCGTTTAAGATTTTGCCTAGGTAAATATTACAGAATATTTTAAGATTGATCTTCTGCTAAACCCCATTTTGAATAAACCCAAATTATTTGTTATTTAGATTCAAAATCATATTTAAGAAATTCGAAACGAGGTGATGCATTTATTGATGAATAGATGGCCATCGAATGCAATGATCAACACTCAGAGGATCCGATAGCTCTCCGTTCTTTCATCAAATTGAGCATTTGAAAATGCTTTCACGTTTGAGTTTGAGAAATACCGCTATTCGTGTCTTATTTGGCTCGACAAAATGGATTACAGCTATATTTAGACAAAGAATAATTACTGGAAGTTGCAAACATGAGATCTAGTGATAATGTCAGCATTGAAAGCTCTGTTACTTTCGTGTAATATCCAGTGATCGGTGTTTTGATTATACTATCGTGTTCTATCTTTAATGAGAGGAGAAATCCTTAACTCTTCAATCCAGTTTTTATAAAATTGATGACTACGTTGTATGGAGTTGTGGTCAGCTCACTAAACTGACAAGACCGAGGTATCGAGAATGACGATTATTGGTGCACACTCAGTGATGTTGATGTCCAATATCAAGAGTAACCTCAGGTCAACGACATGAGATGGTGTTATGTGGGTTTCTCATAAGAACTACTCAAGAAACTCTTCCCTTTACCCCAGTCAAGTATTTCAATACTTTGTATAATGACATTTGAAAGTAGTTATTTTGTACCTATAGCTTTGATTTTTTAGGAATATTTTCTTCCTCCTGTCCGGAAATCACATCTAATTAGGAGGGGTGTACAAATCTGATCTCTCATGAGGCATAACTTAGAATCAAGGGTTTCGAGATCGAACCTTCCAATTTTTAACTCTGAATTTTATGAATTATGGTGAAAGTTGTACCAGAACATATTAGTTGTTGACTTGACCAACTTCTTCAAAACTTAGATTGACCAATTTATATTTCTATTTTATTGAACCTTTTCCATTTATTTATTTGTGAAATATGTTTATCAATTTCACAATAGAAAGATATTGGATCCTTCCTATCGAATCCATGATTGAATTTAATTATTGTTCTCTATTACTTTAGAAAACTGCTGAAAGCTTCACTTTCACCATTTGAATCGAGAAGTCCAATCGCCGATCAGTCTAGGACGCACTGCTTAAGAGTGAGTGTTGAACTTGTTGAGGTAAAAATGAGTCCAGACATCAACAAAAACAATAGCCAACAGGTCTTTAAAGTGTGAAATACTAGTAGAACCAATGCTTGATCTTTTTCAATTAGATCAACTCTTATCAGAAGAATTTGAAGCATTTTGTGACATTCTTGACGAACTAAATGAAAGGTCATCACCTGCTCTCTTATCCAGAATTTAGTTTGAATGTCATTTAGTCACTTTCAAAAGAAGGGTAAACTGTCAGATTTTTTTCTTCTTCTTTTAAGATATTCTATGCAAAAAGACAATAGTCATAGTGATAAGAAAAGAGTTCGAAATCTTCAAATGTCACAGTACTTTTAATAATCCTTTTTAAATCTTATCATTGGAACCAATTCTTATAAAAATGGTTACTGAGAGCACTTACTAATTTTGCTTGTTTATTTAATCAGACATTTGCGTTCTAAAGTTAATTTACACTGAAATAGAACCTAAAATTCACTCTTCGTTTCCTATTCAAGCGATTTTGTTTATGTGATAAGAATTCCAAACAGTTAGTATGTATCAATTGCCATTGAAATGTTTAAAAATATTTCATTTCATTCATCAAAAGGGGGGGGGGAGTAATTGGTTTATAAGTAGGAAAGTTCGTGTCATTTTGGCCTGACTGATGGCTAATTTCCCCAAAAAACAGCCATTTTATAATTGATTTATATTTCAATGCACACACCTCTTCAAGATAATGACCTTCAATCTTTGCGCCAGTTACTAGTCCCTAACTAAGTTATTTTATCGAAAATCGATCATACTAAATGTACGAATGTACCGTTGGTAGTTTCGTTAAATGGGAAGCATGCATCATTTATGAAGGAAATTACATTTTTGTCAGTAAAATATTTGTAGGCAAAATTATCAGCTTCATCTTGTCTGATGAACGTGTGCTCACTTGGAAAATGAGAAAAATTAAATGTTTATGTTGGTTGGCCTTAAATCAATAGTTTAAATTTTCTCCTAAAGTCTTAATGAATTGCTCAGCGAGTACATTCCAATTCTTGGTAAAAGAATTCTTAAAGTGAAATTTGTTCTCCTAGAATGTTTCATCGGTTTATTGCGAAAATACCTTGATAAAGTTCTTTAAAGCTTCTATTATTTTTCTATTTTGCATTTCCTAATTAAGTATGCACTGAGCTTACAAAAAAACATTTATTGCAAAGAGTTTTGTGCAATTTTATCTACTTATTGCCAGCTAACCACAAGAGTGGTTTTTGTTTTGTTAACTCAGTTAAATCTTAACATCTTTTCGGAATTTAGTTCACTTACTAATTTTTTAGTTATTTTCATAAATTTCGACTGTGGCTCATTTAACTTTCATTTATGCCCCAATTGGAGGCCTTAATTAACTTTAACCTATTTTCAAACAAGTTTTGACTTGCGTTGAATGAATGGAAAGAGAGCGTCGCTTTTCAAAGTACTTCCTTCCCACCTCCATTCCACACTAAGTGGATGACGGTAGTTTTAATATCCTTAGTTCACTTAGAGAAGCGTTTTATTTTTCAGCATCCATTTTAGGAAGAAATAATGTTTTAAAGTTCCTGACTTAAGAATTGCTTTTAGATTCCCACCTGTTGAGTAGTATTAAGGACCTCGATGTGACTTTCCAAACACTAAGCTTCGAATCCATGACCTTTGGCAAAATAGCCTAGCACATTAAAATTAATCCAAATGGGACATGCAATACTCATATTGTACAATTCTCGCATAAATTGAATTATAAACCAAGCTACATTTATTAATCGATGAGTTTAAAATATTGCTAATAGTGTTCCAATTAAATTTTCATCATTATTCACTAACTGTGTCCTAATCTTTTTTTAAGATTAAACCACCGTCAAATTACATGAAATTTCACTTCCTAATTTGGCCAAAGAAAACGACATCACAATATGTTGACGGCAAATAGGCAATGAATTTTGGAATCTGAGAAGAGGCAATTATCTGATAATTACGATAGTTTTCTGCCAAATTAAGGTCATACTAACCACAAATTTTTATTTATTTATATCAAATTTCAGGTGTCTTGATGGTTATCATTAGCCCTTTAGTTGACTTCAGGCTTCACAGAGGGGAGGAGGAACATCAAATTGAAAAAAACGTCGAGAGGGGGGGGGAGAGAACAGAAGAGTGTTTCAAAGATGTAAAAAACAAACACGAAGGTAGAAAAAAGGTGAGGTGAGTACTGCGGAAGTAGTCGATTATGACATACAGTGGGGTGATGGAAGTTTGAAGTGAGAAGTCAACTGCCGGTTAATAGACTTTTTTGACGTATGAGTATACGTTGCTCTCTTTTACATCTTTGAAACTCTCTTCTGTTCCCCCTCTCTCGACTTTTTTCTTTTCTTTTTTATGCTTTGATGTTCCTCCTCCTCTGTGAAGCCTGAAGTCAACTAAAGAGCTAATAATAACTTTTACAACGCCTACCATTTGATATAAATATATTATTTATAAGTTAACTGGATTAGTGCATTTATTCAGTAGGAGACCTAGGTGGCACATTTTTTTCCTGTAAAAAAACCAAAATATGTAGACTTGTATGAATTTTAAATAGTGAAAAGGGCCCAATTAGGGACAAAATGAATTTCACCTGGCAACCATAAAATCGGCGTAATTTGGCACGAGAGGATGGTGGATGTTACTGAGATGACATTACCAATCCAAAAATTCTTATTGATTAATCGACTCTCACAGATAGACCGTAAATAATGATCACTCAGCATGAGGGCACTTTTGAAGGTGATGAGGGGATGGGGGTGTTCGTTATTTATGCACTTCCACGAGCCGACATTTCACAAAAGTCGAATTCAACTTACACATTCGGTCAAAGAAAATTAATACTTTGCACATAGGAGAGAGATGAAAAATCGAGTCTGGTGGTTTTGGCAATTTTTGGAAAAATTCTTCCATTTTATTTGTTTACACATGGAAATTACAGATTTCAACTGACACATTTTTGCCAGCAGTTCATGTCAAAGAGCTAGGTTTTGCAGTGACAAGCTTTGTTAAGAGTTTAAATTTCCTTTTATTTATTGTGATATTTCCAAGAGAAAGATGTAATTACCTCAAATTTAAGCCCCTGGATATAAATGACCCACAAATGCCACTGTCTTCACAATCACCAACTACAGAAACTCCATTTGAAACACAATTACCACTCAAGCATTTGTTGATTGGGACAGAAGCACCGTCTGGCATCATATTGGTATGCGTCTAAAAACAGTAGAACATGGAACATTTTGCTATGCTATATTGTTGTCGTTCAGATTATTGTAACATTTCCCTGATAATTTTGGTTAATATGCACGTTTTGTGTAAGCGAAGAATAAAATACTTCTTATATAAATCGGCAGCGCACATGATAACCAGCTTTGGACACATGAAGACCTGAGTATGTGGTTGACTTCCTTCTGGTGTAAAGTGTATGTTAAGGCTCAAGAGGAAAAGTGTTCAGAACAAGGTGGATGGAGGAAAGGCACAGAGTACCAGAATTCAACAATACGGTTTGTCATCCGTGTTACTGAATGAGCACCGCTATGAATGGATTTTGTGGACTCTAACTTTACAGACTCCTATGTCAACTACTGTGTCACTCGTTCGCCTACAAAAGAGTCTTTTTTTGCATACTTTTCCCATGCGTCCCAGTTATTTTCAAACAGGTTTGCCTACCTGATAATAATGGAATGGAAAATCCACGTCCCCCATGATTCCTCATCGCCAATGAGCGATAGGGATTAGCAATAGAAATAGTTGCGGTGGAGGCGGCAACTTCCGAAGAACTGACACTCTCTGGAACGATTTCCGCATTTGATACCTCCCTCACAATGCCATATTTGGTTAGGGCACAAGAAAGAGCCTCGGTAGATTCCGCGAAATCTTCCTTCTCCGTGAAGGGTGTGTAGATGACAGTTGCAAGGAGATAGTGTAACCAAGCTTCTGGATGATAACTATTCTCCAGTAGGATTGGCACTAGAGCGACACCGTAAGAGAGGGCTGAGAGAACCTGCTGCCGACAGTAAGGAGATGTGCTGAAAGAATAACTGAGGCAGAGTATAAGGGCTGAGGCAGTCTCCAGAGCGTTTTCCATTTCTATCCAAAAAAGAAGAGAAATAAAACAATATATATCAAGAACTCCAAAACTATAAATAATCGCCTTATAATGGCCCTGCCTTTAATGGCTCATAAAAGAAGCAGTTTTAAAAATGATTCTAAAGTTTGCTGATTGAAAATTCATGTTGAAATTAATTTTAAATTCAATCAAACCTCATATTATTTTAGCTAAAACTAAGGTATTTAACTCATACTATGTTTCACTGTATTTGTACAAATACATTTTGGCTAAACTTTGTAGCTTTACTAATCGAATTAAAGTTGGCTGTTCATTATTATTATTATTATTATTAATATTATTATTACCTAAGAAGATTGGAAAGCATATATGGTCAAGTAAGAAGAGAATAAATGAAGAGAGGTGGGGTGGGATGGGGGTGCAACTGAGGGCGGAGAACAAGATGAGGTGGAGAGGTCTTTGCATTTCATTCGAAATTTGAATATTCCCGTTTGTCCACTTATATCTAACGAGTAATTAATATCTTCCACACAGTAAAAATCACCCAACCAGATTCAGATATGAGTGAATAAAAGAGATGGTCAAACCTTATTGAGTAGTTATTTAAACTGAGTTAGCATCTAATCTCTTCTCGATATATCCTCTTCTTCATATAATTCCAAAGAAGCTGGTTGATAGGGGTGTTTTAATCATAACAGAGCACGCAACAATTCAATCATATTAAAGTGGCACATTTCCAACTTATCGATAGCATTTTTTATGCAAGCACTTGATTGCACTTCACAAGCCTACAGGCTCACAGGCTTGGCCCCATGCAGAATCACTTTCTGCATTAATTTCTCCTATGAAAAAAGTTCATACACAATGTAAAAGTGTTGTGCTGGATAAACGTGAAAATAATACATTCCAAGAAGAAGTTGGCCGACTCGAATGTCGTCTTTCTAGTGTCAAAAACTAAGAAAAAAGTACGCACATTGTAGTTGTCTAAATGCTTGTACATTTGTCACAAGAATTACCAAAACAAGACTTTCGAGTAGGCTTTATCCCACGACTATTATTTGCAAAAAACTAAATCCAATAATTTGACATTTGCATTATAAGTAAGGCAATTCAAGGTACTATATTATTATGATGGTAGATATTAACGCAAGGTGGGGTGTGCGATAGACTTACCTCCACGTGGTGCACCCTGGGCAATGTATACTCATACGGCAAAAAAGTCTAGAAACTA